ATGTATAAGTTCTAATGCATATCTGTTATCACGAACCATTATTCAATATACATATAGTCTGCACTGGATACACACCCACTAAAAAGTCCGTCTGTGAGTTCATTTAGATCAGTAATGTATTAGTATATTTATTATGATAGTACTGCATACATGTGAATACTACTTAGGAATGAAATTAAGCAACAGCCTGGATTCTGCAGACAGTGAAAATGTAATAGTCATCACTTTATACATGGACTGTCCATTTGTCTCAAGAGTTGCAGTCTTGTTCGAAAAATGCAATATTGTTTCTGTATCATACATAAGGAGAGTCGAGATCAAATCGGCGAGAGGACTGTATAAAAAAAAAGAAAAAAAAGTTACATACTCTATACTAGGAGTGGCCTACCAGTCCATCACGATCAACTGGTCGATCACAAGCCTGTTTTAAGTCGATCACACTACTGTACCTGTTAATTCGTCCTTCAGAAATTGTCATGCAAATAGCTGCAATAACATATCCAAATACTCATGATACTTGGATTATTATATCTGTCTGTTTTTCTGGGAATAAGTTACATTTATGCTTATAATGATGGACATCTCTGAACAACATACAATTATCAATAAGTTTGAATCTTAGGCTGGTAGATCGCATCAGCGTAACGGTAGAAAATTAGATCATATCTCACAAAAGCTCTATACTTTTATAAATAGTTTGAATAGCGATGTGGCTCAGTGTAAAGGAGTGTTTTACACCTATGCGACGCCCAACTCATTGAATATTCATATATAAGGGCATGCATATACACAGAAACAAATACATATCTACCGGAAAGATAGATGCATAAATATAGATAGATCTATCAGAAAAATACAGATATGCCTTTATTTGTGTGCATATGCATGTCCGTGTATATGAATATTCATTAGGTCGGACCTCGCACAATATTAATAGGCCTTATATCATTTGGGAAATCTTTAATGAAAACAATGAAAAATTTATTTTCTTTGAATGATGCGATGGTGCTCTATTTCATTAGTAAAATGTTATTAGTAAATTGTCATGAATGAATACGTGTACAATATCATTTGAAAGATACTGGTTAATCTTTAATTTCTCTTGCTAAAATTTGCTTACAAAATTCTTAATTTTTGATGGTATTATCCATTATTTAAACATAGCTCGTTTGTCGATTCCGATTCACATAAAAAAATCTTTAGTTTTGTATATGAAGGGGTTTAAACTTTTAAAACACACGAAGCAGAACATACAAATATAATACCGTCTACGCTATCAATAGCTAAATATTTCAAGATTCTATCACTTAGTTCATCATTATTATAGAAAAATGCCATGAAATAGCACTCAGATAAGGTCACACTCGAACGCTCCGCGCCAGCCAATCAGAGGCGCCGAATCGAGATGACGAAACATCAAAACAAATGACCAATGTGTACAGACGTCTGTGCGCGCTCCGCAGCTATAAATATGTTTTTTCGACTAATATTGTTCGAATTCTGCAAAGTGAAGAGATGAATAAGTTCACACTCTTTCTCGTGTTCCTTTGTGGAGCAATTTTCGCCGGTTTGGTGTCTCTAATGCACAGTTCATGGCGGTTTTACGCTTCTTCCGAGGTGGCCATAACGTCCTCCCTCGGGGCCATTCCAGCTGGCTCGGATTTGGAACTGATGGACGACGGGTACGTGGCCATGGCCCTTCTCGGGGCTCACGACGAGGACCAGGCTGTGTCCAAGAAACAGACGACAGAGCTGGAAGACAGGCGTAAGTATTGGGTAGCTTGGGGGGGGGGTGTCGAGGCAGGTGGTTATGTCATCACCAACAGGTAGGGGGCGGGAATTCGTGAAGGTCAGTTCAGGTGAAGGAATTTGAGTGTTTCATACCGAGAGCGACGCACCCTCCAGAGACTAAATCCCAAAACCAGGGTGTCATGCAAACCAAAAAATGCAAACCTAACCTTTCCTAGTGTCTATTTATTCCGTAGACTTTGGGGACAATCCCCTGTACTCCCCCTCTATTAGTACTTCATGTCAACTTGTAGAAAATGTGACATTCAGGACTCTTTGTGAGGGTGTTGTGGGCTTAGTCTCTGAGCGGTGATATGCAGTGGATATTCTTGTCATTTAGTGATAGATGCAAGGCACAACAGCTATACCTGTTTTTTATGGCTCTATTTCTTTGCTCTATAAGATGGGGGTGTCCATTTCCCTCTATCTCTGTGCGTCAGTAACATTAACCAGGATTTGGTGTGTAAGTTTTTGAAAAGTTTTGGGATATGCATGTATGACTGCTTAAGATAGGGAAAGTCAAAGAATGCTGTTATAAAGAGAGGTAAGAACTACATACTAACATGTGAAATAATCTGTGCAGGCAAAGAATAATGGAAAAGATTAAGAAATGCTACATGGAGACTAAGTTAAATGGTTGTGTGAAACAAAAAGAATTACCAAATATTTTCTTATGGTGTATGGTACATGCCAGATTTGATAGAAAACGCTAAAGATGATTAAGAATGTAATTATTATTTATTACCTACACTGAACAGAGAAAGTTACATAATCAACAAATTTATAAAACATATCTTGCAGGTATTCATATTTAAATTTTTTTCTTTCAGATGCTGAGATAGAGGCATTAAATACGGTAAAAGCAGCAGAAGATTTAGTACACTCAGGAAAGAGTGTTAGAGCTGGTAGGCTGTTGGAGCATGCCATTTCATTGGCACCAAGGCACCCAGATGTTCTCATACATTATGGAGAATATTTGGAGCATCACCGCAATGACATTGTGCAAGCAGACAAGCTGTACTTAAGAGCCTTGGCTGTTTCTCCTGCTAATTCAAGGGCATTAAGGTAAGGCAGGAAAACGAGAAATGTTCTTAAATGTAATAATGTTTATAATCAAGTCTATATTTTATTTGAAAATAGTTTATTGCATGAGTTAATTGGTTAACTCTTCAAAATCTTCACAGAAATCGACGTAGAACTAGACCAATCGTTGACGAAATGGATGCAGGGCTCTTTAGTCGTATTGAGGGCAAAAGAGATGATCTAGCGCTAATCCCAAGTTCGTCAGCTTCCCTGAGACGCATTAAAAAGGAAGCCTACTTCCAGTACATTTATCACACAGCAGGCATTGAGGGAAACACCATGACCCTGGCGCAGACTCGGATGATTTTGGAGACCAGGCTCAGTGTTGGAGGTATGTTCAGCGCTTTCTGAAAGATGCTCTTTGAACCCTTTAGGGTTTTCATTGCCTTTACTTGCAGAGATAATGAATAATGGGTTTTGCATACAGAAAATTGGAAAACTTTAGATTTTCATGGCAGGCATAGAATGTATATGTTCTTGCACACGCACACATGCACCCCCCCTTGTTAACTCACACAACAACACACCACCCCCCACCACACACACACACACACCACACACTCTCTCACTCACCCACACACACAACACACACACAACACTCTCTCTCTCTCTCTCTCTCTCTCTCTCTCTCTCTCTCTTCTCTCTCTCTCTCTCTCTCTCTCTCTCTCTCTCTCTCTCTCTCTCTCTCTCCTCTCTCTCTCTCTCTCTCTCTCTCTCTCGCTCTCTCTCTCTCGCTCTCGCTCTCGCTCTCTCTCGCTCTCGCTCTCGCTCTCCTCTCCTCTCTCTCTCTCTCTCCTCTCTCGCTCTCTCTCTCGCTCTCTCTCTCGCTCTCTCTCTCGCTCTCTCTCTTTCTTTCTCTCTCTCTCTCGCTCTCTCTCTCGCTCTCTCTCTCGCTCTCTCTCTCGCTCTCTCTCTCGCTCTCTCTCTCTCTCTCTCTCTCTCTCTCTCTCTCTCTCTCTCTCTCTTCTCTCTCTCTCTCTCTCTCTCTCTCTCTCTCTCTCTCTCTCTCTCTCTCTCTCTCTCTCTCTCTCTCTCTCTCTCTCTCTCCTCTCTCTCTCTCTCTCTCTTTCTTTCTCCTTTCTCTCTCTCTCTCTCTCTCTCTCTCTCTCTCTCTCTCTCTCTCTCTCTCTCTCTCTCTCTCTCTCTCTCTCTCTCTCTCCTCTCTCTCTCTCTCTCTCTCTCTCTCTCTCTCTCTCTCTCTCTCTCTCTCTCTCTCTCTCTCTCTCTCTCTCTCTCTCTCTCTCTCTCTCTCTCTCTCTCTCTCTCTCTCTCTCTCTCTCTCTCTCTCTCTCTCTCTCTCTCTCTCTCTCTCTCTCTCTCTCTCTCTCTCTCTCTCTCTCTCTCTCTCTCTCTCTCTCTCTCTCTCTCTCTCAGTCAAAAAGTCTCTTGTGTTGGAGGGAAGTTCTCGTTCTTTCTTTCATGAAAAAGTATATTTTACATTCCTAAGGCTATGATCTTTACTATTAGTGTGTATAGAATAATGATCGATCAGCCTGATTTCTAATTATCTTATTCAATATCTGTAGGGAAGAGTGTCATGGAACATAATGAAATCTTGGGCCTGGACCTTGCCCTCAAGTATATCAACATGACCCTGGTGCACAGAGTGGGCCGCATCACTCTGCACGACATTCTGGAAATTCACCGAAGGGTTTTAGGCCATGTTGATCCAATTCAAGCTGGCCAGTTAAGAACAACTCAGGTGCAGTAGATATAATGTTTTTAGTTTTATCATTGTTATTTTTTGTTTATTAATGTGAGTGAACTAAATGTAATGTCAGGTCATTATGTACAATTAGGAGTATATGACTCCCTGACCTCAGACTGTATAAGAATACGTAAATATGGGATCCCATACTTTATCAGTAACCAGTTCACAACCCGTCTTTAAACACTAAATATGACTTGACAGCTTTATATAAATGTAATTTTATTTTTCACTGCAGATAGCATATAGAAAATTTTCCCATGGCCCTTTTAGCATATATGCATCAACAGCTCTCTTTACATGAAGTCCCATGGTATTCTTCAGCATATATATGTATGAATTGATAGATACAATTGGTATTCATCTTCAGGTTTATGTAAGTGATCATGTTCCACCTCCACCAACACACTTGCAAGTTCTTATGGAAGACTTTGTGCAGTGGCTGAACTCGCCAGAAGCCCAAAGACTCCATCCAATCAAATATGCAGCTCTTGCCCACTACAAGCTGGTGTTTATACACCCGTTTGCTGATGGGAATGGAAGAACAGCAAGATTGTTAATGAATTTTTTGTTAATGCAGGTATGTTATGTTCATGTTTTACTCTTAAACCACACATTCATGTTTACTCAAGTTTCTTGACAAAATACTGGGCTTAGATGTATAAAAGTATCTTATAAACAATTAAAAAATAGGAACAGGTGCAGGTACACTGTCAGGTTCGTTTTGAGGGGATCAGCTCGGCCAGGTCAACAGACAAACACCAGAGGAAAGATACGGTAGGAATTTACTGGTGAGAGTACTATTTACACTATATACACACACAAACAGCACAGTAGAGATGTAGGCAAGGGAGTATTCAGTGGTGTAGCGAGGTCACATGGTGGAGGAGGTAAAAGCTGTGACAGCTTTTACCTCCTGATGAATTTCCGAGTGTCCTGAGCAACCAACTCACACCTGCAGTGTAGTGGCAAGACACAGGCTCAGGTAATGACGGCGACCGACCAAGGCGATCTCACAGTTGTGACATACACAGATATTTGCACAAAGACTGTATCACCTAGTTGGCATAGGTACATTGTCTACACTTAGGTTATCCTCATCAGAACTGCAATTTTCAGGGTTTTCATACACATCATAGTCAGTATCAATTTTGTATTTATCAGGTGGGCATTTATTTGTTTTTTTTCAAACAAATAATATGCCCACCATGAAAGTAGAACTATCTAGTTTAACTTCAGTTGATTTGAGAGACATGACCCAAAATATGGCCGCTCTGATGGGTTTGTGGCTTGTAGGCTTGGCGCACACGAACACTCTTGTGTGGTGACAAGACTATGTGCCTCCCCTTTGCAATGTTATTTTCTCTTTTTATGCATAAGCATTTTCAGCTTTTTTGCCATTTTTCAATGTCTGTATTTGTTATTTGACATGCTTTACCCAGATGGTAATACTGTTTTCCATGCACAAACTCCATTTCTTATTAGGTATTCCATGACTCAGTGCAATAACATGAGTAACAATTTGATATGTATGTCATTTTACTTTTTTCCGTAATATTTAATATTGTGTAATATAACATGCGCTGTAGGTCATGGCAGGAAGGAATAGAATCCAGAACATGGAAATAATTTCCTCCCTGGAGCCGGCACTCTTCCAGTCATGGCTCATAGATAGTATTCCACACTTGTTTATCAATGGAAATAATGCAAAAGTCCCTGCCTAAATGCCAAATGAGTTTAATCACCCTCCAAGAGCTTTATGTACTTGTGGTGAGTCATTCCTGTCACTCCAGCTTTCAGCCGCAATGCTCAGGTCACCCCACTCACATTCAGAGTTTCCCATGATGGAATGTTCACGTCACCCACCCCTTACGACAAATTTTTTCATGATATAATGGTCATGTCATCTGGAACACAAGGGTTAACCCATTGCAAATGGGTGTCAGAATGTAGATAATGGCCAAATTTTGGCCTGAGCCAGTGTGTCAACAATATATTGATGCTTTTTGAGGCTTTGACAACATTCTTTAAAGCATACTAAATAATGTGGAAAGGTCAAGTGTGCATCCTTATGCTGATATACAGCTCACCTTCATCGACTCTGCAGAAAACTATTTTATCACACAGTGATGAATGGTAAGCAATGACTTAAATTACTGAGGTAGTGCTGCATTCTCACAAAAGTGAGCCTGTATTTTGGGAAGGTCATTAGTTTAGGTGGCCTGCCTGCAATAGGTTGATATTAACTATACATGAAGGGCTGTATAGGTCTAAGTAGCTAAACTTACATCCTTTATGTCACCAATCATATCCAAAACAAAACCATTTTATATAATAAGTTGATAGTCACTGAGTGATATTCTATTTTCAATGAGTGATATTCTATTTGATTGACAGCATGGATCCATATTGTTTTCTTCTAAAAACTCAATGTAATGTGTACATTGTAATTTTCATATTTTTCAGGCTGGTTACCCACCTGTAATAATCCGTAAGCAAGACAGGCTTATGTATTATGACTGCCTACAAACAGCTAATGAAGGTGACACTCGCCCATTTATCAGATTCATTGCTCACTGCACTGAGAAGACATTAGATGTGTATTTGTGGGCCACAAAGGAAGCCTTACCCAAAATAGGCCAGGAAAATGAAAGCAAAGGTGAAGTGAATAAGTTGAAAAAAGAACACCAGGAAAAAGATTATTTAATGGCTGATAAAAAGTCTAATGATGATGCAGAGGAAGTCAAAAAGTTTTCCTTTGAATCAGTTGATGATATTCCGCCATGGCAAGCGGAAGAAGAGCACTATAAAGAGAAAGAACCGTTCAGTGGAGGTTATATACCCTCAAATGTTGAAGATGATATACTTAAGGAAGACTCTAGTCATAGGTCAGAAAATAGTGTCGATCATGAACATGGTTA